CTTCCCTTTAAAAATAATTAACAACAATCTAGCAACTATTGGAATGGGAAAAAATCAAACATATTTACATGTCTGATTAACAGGTCTCAATAATTAATTCTGGAGATTTTGTGGCCCTCATCAAACGTCTCAATGGTGGCTCCCCAGCGATATCTAATAGAACTGTCTGTTTATTGTCATGCATTTGACGTTCATCTGTAGCATCTGTCAGTTGACTGCTGACGGAATTACTGCCTTCTGGTTTCTCTAGAGCAGAAGTGTCAAACTCATTTGTTACAAGGGCTGGATTTGACATGAATGTCACTTTGTCCGGCTGGGCCATGTGAGCCATCAAACATAATGACAGGGACCAGAGATATAAACTTTATAAAGGACAGCAGCTGGTAAGCTCTGAGTTGGTGTATTTTAACTGCAAGGCCCCATGGCTGGGGGGGGGGGGTTGCAGAGGAAAACCCACATGGGTGGACTGGAGACCCAGTGGTGCAGTGTTGGGCAGACGCTCCCGTGCTGCCTGGAGGGGAAGCAAACCCCTTCCCCAGTCTGCTTCTGCAGCCAATGCTGTGAGCCCGGGCCCTAGGGTAAAAATGTAAAGTGTTTGGGTGTTGTGAGCTCCCCCCTGCCCCTGAGCCACCATGGAAGGGGACTGGGAAGACATTGAACTAACCCCCCCTTAATTACTCCTTAATTGTCTTCCCATTAAAAGCTGAGCAGGGGACTGACCAGTTTCTAAAGAAATACTTCTGTAAATCAAAAGTGATTAACAACAATCTAACAACTATTGGAATGGAAAAAAATCAAACATAAGTAAGTCATCATCAGCATCAAAAGTTTTCTTCATCAAGTTTTTGACAGTCTGAACAGACCGTTATACAAGTCCATTCAACTGAGGAAAGTTTGGGCTAGATGTGGTGTGCAAACTCCCTAAATTCAGTGCAAGGAAACTGTGGGGCGTTGTCACTTAAAAGCTCTTTGGGAATGCTATACTGTGCAAATATTCCCTTCAGGCATGCAATCACTGATTTACTGGTGGTATTTGAAAGCATGCATGCTTCTGGGTAAAGTGAATAATACTCAGTGACTATTAAATAATCCTTGAATTGCCACGTGAATAGATCAGTGCCTACCTTTTGGTATGCCTGGTTGGAACTGGATGTAGATGCAGTGACTCTGGTTGTTGGTGTGGCTGGTACTTGAGGCAGACTGAACAACCTTTTACCTATTGGCTATGACCTGATTAGTCTTGGGGCAATACAACACCTCTCAAGCTCGTTGTTTACACTTTTCAATGCCTAAATGGCTTCACGGATTTTCTGCAGCATTTCTTTGCAGAGGCTAGCATGTATAACTAATTTGCTCCCCTTAAAGATCACTCCATCAATCACTGTGAGTTCATGTTTATAATTCCAATAATCATGGATAATCAGGTCATAGTTATCTTGAGTTTCAGGCCACTGACCAGATGTACCTTGAAAGAGACTCTATAAAGATGAGTCTATAGTAGTTGCATCTTTTATGCAGCGCAGTGCTTTGGTGGACATTGTAAGGGAAGTAATAATCATGCCCACATATGCTTTTAACGTGCTCTATATTCCCATGGGAGGAACGGCCCATGAAAACACATCAAGCAGCAAACAAAAGTTTACGTGGTGTATAACTCATGGCCAAGTCATATTTCTAAGCTCTTTGATACAGTAGATTTAGGTGTCACAAACTTTGCATAGGATCAGGCTGCATCGGCCTTGGTGGGGAGGGTGGGATATAAATAAAATTAATTAAATAAATAAATAACTGTTGAGCACAGTGGGGTTTTCTTAACAAAGATCAGGTTGCTTTAGATAAAATGATGCTGCCCCTGTTTCAATCTGACTTCTTGTTGTTTTATCTCAGTGGTTAATTTTTGAGACAAGAGGTATTTTCATGTTCAAAGCTGTCTGGAAAACGCACCCTTTCACCCAGAAACTAGAATTCTACACTCAGAAATATAGAGGCTGCTGTAAAAGGTAAAGGTTCCCTTGCTCGAAAGCCAGTCGAATCCGACTCTAGGGTTGCGGTGCTCATCTCCATTTCCAAGCCAAAGAGCCAGCGCTATCCGAAGACGTTTCCGTGGTCATGTGGCCGGCATGACTAAACACCAAGGCGCACAGAACACTGTTACCTTCCCACCGAAGTGGTACCTATTTATCTACTTGCAATTTCTTGCTTTCGAACTGCTAGGTTGGCAGGAGCTGGAACTAGAGATGGGAGCTCACTCCATCATGCGGCACCCGGGTCTCAAACTGCTGAACTACTGACCTTCCACAGCCTGCAGTTCAGCGTCTTAACCATTTGAGCCACCGCAGCTCCACAGGCTGCTGTACAGTGCTTCTAAACAGAGGTTCTTGTACTGCTAGGAAGTTACATTCTCTGCTATGAATACCTGAACCCTAATCTCAGATGTATGGGGAGACAATGGTTGCTCAGCAATAAGGCACTGTGAACAAGCTCCTAAGCATACTTAGTTTCTTCTGAAGGTCTGAATTTTGTCAGTGAGCATGGGCTTGGTATTATGTTTCCTTGAGTTTTAGTTTAGACCTTGAGGATCTTTATTGCTGACAGAAATGCAATTTGTATATGCTCACAGACAATCTATATGAAGAAAAAAGTTGCTGTGATTATAACTAGCAGGATCAGTGTGGACAATTGCTTGTGTATTATTGATAGGATGCTATTTCTATGTTATCACACATGCTACATCTATTGTCCCTGTTGTGAACCTGACCAACCGGTAGGAAGCCAGTTGCCATAGCCCTGTTCTGTGCTGTTTTCTGGTAACACTTGAGTGTGCTGGAACTCTGGGATTAACAAATCTACATAGGGCCCAGTCACACGGGCCAGAAAACGTGGGGGGGAGGTGTGGCTCTTTGCGCCATCGCAATCTGATGCGCAATTAGGCAATCAGACTTGACGGCAGCACACCGGGGCTTCCACCATCGGCACGCAGCAAAGAGGACGCCAGCGCGATCTCACCACAGGAGTCCAGAGGCAGCCCGTGGTAAACCATTTGCTGGTAGGTCGATCCTGGTAGCTTTTAACTACGTGGCTTCGGCAGCTTGTCGTGGGTTGGCCATGGGAGTGCTACACCTCCCAGATGTTCTGGTGAGATCGCGCCTGGAAAATCCGCCAGAGTACCGTGCCTTCAGCGGGGCAAATGTTCTGTGTGACTGGGGCCTTATTTTGGCATTTGGCACTCCTAACCCAATTTTCTTCACGAGGCAGTTTGCAATAAATTAATGAAAGTGCAATCAGCAACTGATTTTATAGTGAAAATATAGTGGTGCAAGTCACAGCAGAAGAAACTCACCGTGGGATGACAAATCAGGAAATATTTATTTATTTATTTATTTTTCGTACTTATCCCCCGCCCTCCCCAGTGGGCTCAGGGCGGCTTACAGAGGCAAGAACAACTTGCCATGGTAAGACAATATATACATAACAATTTAAAACATATGCTACATATTAAAATCTAATAACAAAGTGCTCAGTGCCATTCATCATCTAAAGATGGCGGATCGTATGTCCAAAGTCCCAAGAAGACGGCAGAAGGATTCTTCCATGGTAGGTGTTTAATCGGGACCTCAGGGCGGTGGTAGTATAGTAGGGGCGGCGGCTCCTACTCGAAAGCCTGGCGGAAGAGCTCCGTCTTGCAGGCCCTGCGGAACTGCATAAGATCCCGCAGGGCCCTGATCTCCTCCGGGAGCTCATTCCACCAAGTAGGAGCCACCACCGAAAAAGCCCTGGTCCTCGTGGCGGCTAGTTTGACATCCTTAGGGCCCGGGATGACTAATAGATTTTGGCCCCCTGACCATAGTGCTCTTGGGGGAACATACGGGGAAAGGCGGTCCTTCAGAAATGAGGAAGGTATACAGGTTGGGACAATTTTTCATTTGTTTTTTTTTTTTTGTACAGCCCACCCACCCAGTCATGTAGCCAGAAAATTTGGGGTGGTGGGAAATCTGGGGGGTGGGGAGCAACCCTCTCTCTAAGCTGTGGAGTGTTGTGAGCAAAAATTCTGCTTTGTGAAGCTGCTGGCATTAAAGTTGTAAGCCAGCGATTTGGCTACTGCATAAATTAGTTTGCTTTGGCACATCCTTCCTGAACTAAGATAAAAATGTGTGCGCAGGAGGCTAAAAAACTGAGCTAGCTCACACTAACTCAACTTACAGGGAACACTGGTGGGGAGCAGGGGGAGGGAGGTATCCCATCAGCAGGCAGGTGAAGAAGAAAAGGGTCTTTCCTTACCTGCCTGCCTCATCCACTGGCTCGCTTGGCCTGGGAGTGGGAGAGCCCTTAGGCTGGTGCAATTATTACTCAGGGAATATGTGTTGTGTGCTACTGTAGTGGCAAGCCTCACCCACCCACTAGGTAGCAGAGACTGTATACTTGCGGAGTATTAATTGCACCAGCTGGCTCTCCTTCGCCTCTAGTGGCTGAAGGAAGAATGTAGCTGACAAGTAAGGACACACAGGCAGTGGGAGTCATGGGGCGTGGGGCATAAGTGAGGGGGCACCGCCCTCTAAATGCCCCACTATGGCTACAGGCCTGAGGCCACCACCGAACTACAGAAGGCGCTGGCAGGTCCATTACTTGCTCTGCAGTACTTTACATTACTCCCGTGGGCTACAAACACTTCGTCCTTGGTCGTACATTTGCCGGGATATCATAAAACACATAAACACACTTCAGCTCTTGGACTACGTTTCTCTCAGTACTAATCGCACTACAGAGATTAGAGAAACATACATTACATTTCCGCTCGCGTTGTAGCATATGAGCAACTGTTACCACGGCATTCCTTGGGAGACTACAATTCCCTCCATGCTTTGAAATCGTTCGAGTCGTAAAGCTTTGCTTCCCCGATTGGCTTGGCGATTGCAAGGCATGTTGGGAGTTGTAGTTCCTTTGCTCTAAGAGCGTGCCTCGCGCCGCTGGGGCGTGTCCTCAGGGGGGCTATATAAGCATCTGGAGGGGCGGTGGGCTTCGTTTGTCGGCTGTTTGTTATACCTCTGCTGGGGGTTTACGGAGAATCTTCAGGTGCCGGCTCAAGCTAAAGGTACGAGAGGGATTGAGCTGAGAGGTTGTGCCTTTGGGAACTGGGTAGGAAAGAGGCGGATGCTTGTTCACAGTGTTACTTGTTCACAGCGATGCAGGGGCGGTGCAGGTATGCCTTAGTGAACCCGCCGACAGTCTTTTTCACTCGGCGTGTTCTGTTCTTGTAATTCCCCGCTCGTTTTCCTCCCAGCGGCATGCCTCCCCTAGCCGCCCCCCCTCTCCTCAGTTTAGTACGTGACTACTTCTCACTGTGTGGGGGAAGGGGCGCTTCTTCTCAAACGGAGACGCCACGTGATCTGACTTGAGTTTGTGAGCCGCCATTTTTAGTACCCATCCGTCCGACGCGCGTTGGCAGGGAAAGGGGGAGGGCGCCGAGATAGAGAAGGGCCGGTCGCGTCACATGACATTCTCTCAGCCTGTCAGAAGCAGCCGTTGAGATTTGGCGCCAAAAGTTCGGAGGGAGGGAGGGAGAGGAGGAGGCGGGAAAAGGAGTCTATTGTCTCTTCAGGTGAGCGGTTCTCTCACTTGGCGCCGCCCCCTCTCCGTTCTTGGTGCCGGAGAAGACAGCGGCTTATGTTATCCTGTCTGTTTTCAAGCCTGTTCACAAAGCTGTTCAGCGAGTTTCTTGTACTTGGTGCGGCTTACTACTGAATGAAGGTTCAGTACTATTATGTAGTTGGTTCTGCCTTATACGGTGGGAGCGTCCTATCGCGCTGTACCGTTTGAGGTGAATTAGCTGCTTAGACTTACCATAGGATCTGGTGCCTGCTAGGGATAGGTCAAAAATCAAAGCTTGAAGTGCTTTTCAGTGAGCTTGTCCACAGACTAATTTTCATCTGTTCTTCTCTTTCTTCCCCTATATTTCTCCAAAACGCTGGAAAAACGTACTCCTAAGTGTCAGCGGTTCTCCAGTCTTGTGATAAAGGTGCAGTGCCTGGCATCCCAAAGCCTTCAGGAATTGTTAGCTGATAAACCTGTTACAGCTATTGCACTTCTTAAAGAAAAAATGAATAATTTTTTTTGAATTATGGATTGTGAAACAAACAGAGTTGTATATCCTCACTCTGATTATGTTTGGAATTTTGCCTTTAAGTAAAAGTTTCCAATCAAGGGTGCTTGTTTGATCTAGCCTAAAATAGTTGTGTATTGTTGAACACATATTCAGGTCTGTGAAAGTGCTGCAGCCTGAGTTGGAATAGATCTGAAAGGCTGCTCATTTGCTACCAGGGCAAATGAAATTGACTACTGGAAGCTGCTGAGTTGGGTGTGCAACTGAGCTGGTCTTTTAACCAGTTTAAGACTAGCATGCTTTTTTCAGACTAAGGTATTTAGCAGTTATGGGGTTCTCTTCACAGAAACAGTAATAGTTCTTGGAGAACTGGTGTTCAGAAGTATGGCCAATGAAAGTATCTCATGGCTGAGTGGTTTGTAACTGTTTCTTAGCTATAGTGTATTGAGAGATGTGGCAGATGCTAAGCCACAGCATATGTGTTGTATTGAGCTATGTGCTTTCTGGTTATGTTTGGTAGCTGCTGAGCAACAGTTTAAAATTATTTTTAACATCCAAAGATCTTATTTTGTTGGTTTACTGCTGGCTATCACTGATTGTTGAATTGGCAGTTCTGTGTTTCTGTATGAACTGGAGGTGCACATAATGAAGTTGGCAGATGTCTTTCTGCACTAGCAGGCTTATGGGAAAGATATTGGTGATAGTCCATTCTTCTAAAAATGCTAAGGATTTTTTAATGTTACAAATGCTAACTAACAAAACTAGGATCACTAGTTATTTTCTAACTGTGAAACTTTCAGTTTCAGAATGACAGAAGAATCTGCTGCTCCTTCTACTTCTGTGGACAAAATTGACAGGTAAGATACCAGTTAGTGGGAATACACAAATAGAGCATACATCTGTGTGAAACAAAATACTGTAACTTTCCTTAAAACAGTTGACACTGGTCCATTTAACTTGCTGCCATCAGAAGTAATAGACTGGAATAAATCCTGAGCATTTTTGTTGCCACTGACTTGTTATTAACAGCCAAGTTAAATCTCCCTTCAAGTCAGAATTCAAAACAGCTCCACTATTTTGACCAATCAACCTGTCTTCATGTTTCTAGTATGGATGTGGATGGAGAAGCTAAGAAGCTGTTGGGCTTGGGGCAGAAAAACCTGGTAATGGGCGATATTCCAGCAGCTGTTAATGCATTTCAAGAAGCAGCCAGCATGTTGTAAGTAATGGGATATGATTCTCTTCTGTTGAATTTGCAGCTAGGTGGGAACAATATGTTAAGTCTTAATTTTTCCACCAAGCAATTTTGGTTAGTGCTTATGTTTTTCCCCCCTTATAAGCTTACATGGGTGATCACAATTATGTTTTGGATATATTTTTCACATTAGAATACCATGGCTTATTTTTGATTTATTTAAATCAGATGAGCTTTGGCTTTGCTTTGTATTGCTTCTTGTGTTGAAGCCTAATTGTAATCGGTCCTGGAGAAGTAATGTCAGTAAAGGGAGAATAATTTTCAGTATGTCTGGGAGAATTTGTTAATCCACACTGTTAAATTTCAGGTTAAATTAAGGAAACACCCCCACCCCGGTAATTTATTGAAAATTGTCCATGAATGTTGTCATTAAGATTGCTATAGTTTTCCCAGAAAAAAGCATGGCGCTAATTTGTAATGGCTTCTCTTTAGGGGTAAGAAATATGGTGAAACAGCAAATGAGTGTGCAGAAGCTTTCTTTTTTTATGGGAAATCTCTTCTAGAGTTGGCAAGGTAAGCTTATGGGTTGTGTTGCAAGACACTTGTATTTTCTTCTGTATTGTAACTAGCTCTTGTGTAAGGGGTAAAATTTCTCTTAACGGAATAGCTAGCTGCAACAGAGTAGTAGTATGATTAAGCCTAGTAGCATGGGTACATTGCTAAAATATTAGTGGGAAGAGCCCCACACTTTGAATGAATTATAGAAAACAAAGACCTGACTGGATCAGGACATTCTAGTTAGCATGTTTCAGTTGTTTGGCTGGCTAGGTCAAAATCAAAGCAGAGGAAGGCAGTAACAGATTTATACTTCCACCATTTGGGTCTTGATAGCTACTGAATCATATAGCCTTCTCCAGCTGATTTTGCAAAGAGGCAACTAGAATTGTATACTGTTCTAAATGCAGTTATACTACTTCATTTTTAGTACTCTTCTGATTAATAGTCAGTCTAGGTCCTATTACTATTTGTCATTGGAACAATAATCCTAATGTGCATCACAAGTTCTTATTTGCTTGGTTCAGAGTGCCTTTGTGAGCTCTTCAGTCTTAGCCTGCACTACCTGATTGTATGTCACCTATCTCTCCTATATAATAATACTATTTTCACGTGGCGACATTCCATGCCCTCCCTCAGCCACTGGCCCATCAGCTGCCACTGAAGAGTACTCAGGTGCCATTGGCCAGGTGCTGGGTCTGCTCCTCTTCCTCGTCCACTCCCCCTTCAGCCACTGTGCCCTGTCAGAATTACTACAACAAACAGGACCACGGTGTGTAATAGCCAGTGAAATCACCGTGTACAATTAAACAATATTTGTTTGTATTTGTTTGTTTTTATATGCAATGTTGAGAATTCAATTATTACCAATAACACTACAATATGTGATATAAAGCTTAGCAGTACATACAAAGTAATACAATACTAGTTACAGACAAACGACGGAGTTCTAGTACACTATCCGTTTGCGTGTCCTTCATCAGGTTTGTCATTCTGTAATTATTTCTTCATTAGAATGAAGTGCTGCAAGCCATATTTCAAAATGCTTATACAATTTTTGACGTACGCTACCGCGCTTAGATTCTGGTGACTGGGGAGCTCCTATAGCAAGCTCTAATGTGACTGGGTCTACAGCATATAATAATTGGCTAAGCTTCCCAGTCACATTAGAGCTTGCTATAGGAACTCCCCTCCCTGATGAAGAACACGCAAACAGAGTGTACTAGAACTCCGTTGTTTGTCTGTAACTAGTAATGTATTACTTTGTATGTACTGCTAAGCTTTATATCACATATTGTAGTGTTATTGGTAATAATTGAATTCTCAACATTGCATATAAAAACAAATATTGTTTAATTGTACACAGGGATTTACTGTTTCACTGGCTGTCAGAATTACTGGCAAACGGCTTTCTCTCTTGACAAAGATGCTTTTCCTGCTTGGGTCTTGTGTGGGACTAACTCTTCCCTCAGTGGTTGTTGGTAGGTGTAACGAAATGGCAGTTACCTGTGTTTGTAAGATGGCTGCCGTCTGTCGTTGGTTGTTTAAAATGTTCCCCCATAAGGTTTAATTGAGCTGTAGTTCCAGAGAGGGGCCTGCAGGGCTATCACTCACTGGGTTGAATGGGGGTTCCTCATCTGCTGGCCTACAGTTCCCAGCTTCCCCAAGGCCAAAAAGTGTGGGAAAAGAGGGACTGTCCCAAGGGGCAGGGCAGCATCAATATAGACTCCAGCCCATCCAGCTGAGTTGTAAACGAGCCTATTTCACCACGGTAGGCAAGCAAACTTGGGTCAGACAAAGGAAACCCTTTGCAGGCCTTTGTGAGGAACTCATTGTGGCCAGTCCTCTAGGGTTTCCAGCTCCAGGTAGGGAGATTCCTGGACATTTTCTTGTAGAGTCTATGGAAGCCAGGGTTTGGGGAGGGGAGAGGTCTCAGCTGAACAGAATGCCATACATCCCACCTTCCAAAGCAACTATTTCCTCCGGGGGCGGATGTCTGCTTTCTAGAGTTCAGTTGTGATACCTGGTGATCTTCAGGCTCCACCTGGAGGTTGGCTACCCTAGGCGTAGTAGTCAGTGCTTCAGAGCAGGGTCTGCTAGATCCAGGTTCTTGCTGTAGAAGCTGAGTGGGTGATTTTGGACCAGTCAAAGATTTTCCGCCTAACCTACCTCACAGGGTTGTTGTGCAAGTCAAACAGGGGAGAGGAGAATGATGTAAGCTGCTTTGGTCCCCATTGCAGTGAAAGATTACTTTTCCTCCTGGGTAGAGGCTGCAGGTAGGGTGGGGCTATGGAAAGCTGAAGAGAGAAGGGGAAATAAAGGTAGATTGATGATTGGCTGGGAGGGATATAGGGTTGCCAACTCCAGGTGGGAAATTCCTGGAGATTTGAGGGATGGAACCTGGAGAGGGTGAGGTTTGAGGAGGGGTGGGACCTCAGACAGACAGGTACAATGCCATAGACTCCACCCTCCAAACCAACCATTCCCTCCTGGGGAACCATTGTTGCCAATCTCCAGGTGAAGGGTGATCACTCAGAAATACAACTGATCTCCAGAAGGGAGGGCAGAAGTCTGCTGCAGTCAGAGGGGCAGATAATGGTAGGTAGATGGTTAGCTGGGAAGGGGATGGTGTTGCCAACTCCAGGTTGGAAAATTCCTGGGAATTTCAGGGGTGGAGCCTGGACAGGGTGGGGCTTGAGGAGGTCACCACAGCAAATTGACGATGAGCACTCTCCCAGAGCCTCTTTCTAGACCTCGTTGTATTTATTTCCACAACGGGCCTTATTCCTAGTATTGCTATAATACAAACCCCTAGTAAAGAAGTCGGCTGTTTATTATGAATTAGTTGGCAATACTTCCAACAACTTTTTGAGTTAATTTAGTTTAATTATTTTGCTGATCCAGTGCTGCATCTTGGCATTTGAATTAGAACAGTTCAAAGTATCTACTCTACATAATGTTCAGGCTCTATAATTAGATTATATATCCAGGGCTCAACAAATTCCAGGTCGCCATGACACCTAGCAATTGCTTTGTGGTGCTTAGTGTTTTTAGCAGTGGTTTTATTGTAGAGTGTCTCAGCAAATCTTAATGCCAGTACTTAAGGGTTGGATCCAGCCAACTTTTCTGTTGGTCAAGAAGGTAATGTTTCACTTCGATCACCATAAAGGCTATCATTAGAATCATGAGACCTGCCTGGACAAAATGCATGTGGAACAGGGGATGTAACGTGGGGAATTGACTGAGATTGTGTGAAAAAGCTGGCAGCTGCTTTATCTTTGTGGATCAGAATGTTTTGTATTTTGTGGTAGCAAAATAAAAATAAACCTGAAAGCTTGACAAATTTGTTAGGCTTTTACAGCCAAAGAAAATTTGTCATGGCCTGACTATCAGGATAATGGGTATTGCTTGTATCTTTTTTAGAATGGAAAATGGTGTGCTAGGAAATGCCTTGGAAGGAGTGCAAGTTGAAGAGGAAGAAGAAAAGGCAGAAGACTCAGTGGCAGAAAGTGCTGATAATATAGATGGTATGTATGGTTCTGTTAACACCCAATCTAGATGCCAAAGTGTATATATACTAAGTGTATACTGGAATGTTATTGCCCAAGATGACTTGCAACGGGAGGCTCATGGCATGATGTCGGTTTGGGGGGAAACTTGGAAATGATGTCACATTTCCCAAGGAATTGCTGGAGACTCGTTAAACCATAGAGGAGTGAAGTCAGGCAGATGGCCATTTTTCCCCCCTGCTGCTGCTCAGACTGGTGGCAGGAAACAAGAGGAGGAACTTGGAACCCAAAAATCTTAATAAAATGACCCAAACCTTATCTTTTAAATAACTTGGACCAGCATTCAATTGACAAAATTCTGTATTTTTGTTGAGCTGTACATTAAGGCAGACATAGTCAGCTAATCTATACTGTGTGGGCGTAAGCTTAGTTTCTGGATAAAGGTATTGATTTGTGCCTCACAGTTTTAAAAACAATTGACTAGCTGTCCTTTTCCTAAAACCTGGAACTTAGAGGATCTGACTACTGAGGAGAATAGATTCAGGTGGGTAGCCCTGTTGGTCTGAAACAACAGAACAAAATTTGAACTTTGTTGGTCTTAAATGTGCCACTGGACTCAAATTTTGTTCTGCTGAGGAGAATGTTATTCTTAAACTGTGGAAGCATGCAACACAAGAGTATAGTGCAGTTAAAATTATTTAATGCACTTGTATAACACTGTTAAATCAAAACATTCAGATCAGTTGTTTGGCTTAGCTATGGCCTAGATTTCATGGCAGGGCAGCATCTAATTTAGCTATCGAAACTCTGAAGCTGTGCTGAATTGCATTCTAGACATATGTAAACATATGCAAAAATTCCCTTAAGGAAGGGGCTTGCATATCCTCATTGTCTCCTCTTTTCCCACCCCCAAATTGCAGTAGTTACTTCTGGAATGTTTCTCATCTGGACAGAGCTTGGCATCTCTTGCTTGGCTGCGGCTCTTGCTGGCCTACATTTCATTGCTTATGCACACCCCTTACAAGCTTTTGGTGTTAAGGAAATAAATATGTTCCAGACTAGATATTCAGAAGCTTTGAGTGCTGTGATTTGGTGTAGAGAGTTCAGTGGGATTAAGGTGGAATGTTAAGATCATGAATGCTTATCACTAAATTCGAAGGTTTTTTCTGCTTCATCTTCTTTAATCATGTAGAAGAAGCAAGGGAGGAATTAAGAGAGCAGGTATATAATGCCATGGGGGAAAAGGATGAATCCAGAAAAACTGCTGAAGAGCCTCTGGTATTGACGGAAGCTGAGATGCAACTGAAAAGCAAGGATGTGGAAATGGAAGAAGTTAAGGAAGAAAAAGTACACAAGGAACCTATGGATATAGAACAGAAAACTTACAAAGAGAGAGAGGAGGAGGAGGTTAATCCACAAAATCAGGTGGAAGCAGCTGAAAGAGAAAAGCAAGAGGCCAGTGAAATAGTTACTGAGGTAGCAAAAGAAGACTGTACTGCCATGAAAAATACGTTAGTAGCTGCAGAAGAGCAGGTGAGTGTACCTGAGGAAGAGAAGCCAGTGACAGTAGAAGAGGCTGAGGAAGAGACGCCAGTGACAGCAGAAGAGGCTGAGGAAGAGACGCCAGTGACAGCAGAAGAGGCTGGGGAAGACACCACTATAAACAAGCCCATGACTACAGAAGAAGCAGCTGGGTCACAGCAACCAGTACCAGCAGGAGAGGCTGTGGAAGATGCTTCTGTAGAAAAGATGCCAGTGGCTGCAAAAGAGGCTGTTGGAGAAGAGAAGCCTGTTGAAGTAGCAGCTCAGGAGGAAAAAATCAAAGAAGCAGCAGCAAAGCTTATAGACCAGGCTGCTGAAAAACAGACAGACAGTACAATAGAAAAAAAAGTAGTGGAGGAAGTGGTTAAAACTTCAGGAGTGACAATTGAAGAATTAGCAACAGCTGTTGAGAAAGCTGAAAGCCAGGTAGAGACAGCAATAGAAAAAAAGCCAGCCAGAGCTATTGATGAGAAGGCCAAGAAAATGGAAACAGAGCAAATGGTGATGGACTTGAAAGAGAAAGAAGAGCCCTTGTCTTCAGGAAAAGTATTGCCTTCAGCTGCAAGTGAAATTACTGCTGCAGGGGGCACAGAGCCATCACAGGAAGTTGAAATGGAAGAAAAAGCTGAAGCTGCTAAGGTAGAAAAGGAGGAAGAAAAGGATGACGAGATGGGAGAGGGCGAAGGTAACAGGGATAGTAGATAATTGTGGTTGGATTACTTAGAGAGCTAACCTTTAGCAAAACAGATCCATTCAGAATTTCCTTTCTGCCATAAAACTGAGGGAAGAGAAAGGCCTAGCTTAAGGGGACCCATTAGAAGCTTTAAGAAAGAGCAGACATTTCATTGGTTCAAACCTATTTTTAACTAACATGCTGAGCAAAGCTGTTGACTGTTATGGGGCAGTGGCTAGCTTGAGCAGTAAATATAAAGTGATGGCTGATAGAGAATACTGAATGGATGTTCACTGCATGCTCATTTAAGTTTAAATCTTTAACTACTGAAAGCATAGTTTCTCTAATCTGACAAGACAGCAGAATCCACAGAACTAAAATTGTTCTCAGCTGTATAAGGCTAATATAGTGGGTCTAAATGTACACAACTAGAAATCAGTGCAACTAGTACAAGCGTCATAACTTTTTGTCCTGCTTTTCTTGCTTTAGCATTGCTGTTAACTGCTTTATAACCCTTTAAGCTTGCATTCACAACTGAGGTTTTAGAACTGTAAAACTTCTATAAGCATAATGAGCTGCTGGTATGAAGTTAGGTATCTGACAAATTTTAAATAGTTGCTACTATCTCCAGGCAAAATTCAGTGGCAAGTTTGGTTTAGTCCTGTTTATCTCGGCTTCTGAATGAACCTCCTCTAGATAAAGCCCATTGTGATCTTGATAGTAGAACTTGTAAATGGAAATTTGGTTAAACCAAGTGCAGAGTACTACCACTTTAAAAATCAAGATTAGCCACAATGCACCATTTACAGAAATACCGACAGACTGATAAATTTGGCTGCTTGTATATCTGTCATGGGGCCACAGTGGCTCAGATGTTAAGCCGCTGAGCTGCAGCCTGGAAGGTCAGTAGTTCGGCAGTTCAAGACCCTAGTGCCGTGAGCTCCCCAGTTCCTGCCAACCTAGCAGTTTGAAAACAACAACTTGCAAATAGATAATAGGTACCGCTTCGGTGGGAAGGTATCAGCGTTCCGTGCGCTTTGGTGTTTAGTCACGGTGGCCACATGACCACGGAAACATCTTTGGATAGCGCTGGCTCTTCGGCTTGGAAAAGGAGATGAGCACCGCCCCCTAGAGTCGGATTCGACTGGCTTTCGAGCAAGGGAAACCTTTACCTTTATATCTGTCATTCAGCAAGCATCTGTTGGGTACAGCAGTTTCAGATTACTTCTTACCACCTGTTTGGGGTAACTAAAATATTGCTGCTTAAGTATCTACAGTGATTTTTGCTTACTGTGCAAACATTTTGTTTCTGTAAGCTACACAGAGTTCCACAGAAGGATAGGCCGTTTCTGTTAACTGAGGGGACCCACTCAGCCTCCTATGATTTTGAGAGAACCGGGTTTATTTTAAACTATTAACCTTCCCCTCAGACACTAGGTGTTCTAAAGGTAGTGAGTGTCTATTTTTATTTATTTATTATTAAATTGAATTTGTTAGGCTGCCCTTCCCTACAAGAAGGGCTCAGGGTGGCTTGCAACAAAATAATATACAAAATATCAATGTAAAACTTAGATAAAAACCAATAAATATCAATAAATAGAACAGTATATATACAATATACAAAATGGCGGAAAAAAATCCAGCTCCCCAGCCTCCCTGGAGGGGAGGGGTTACAAGGGATAGGAAACTGTAAGAATGCCAAAGGGTGCCCTGCCGCTGTCCTCAACCAAAGGCCTGGTGGAACATCTCTGCCTTACATGCCCTGCGGAAAGGTAACAATTCCCACAGGGCACGGATGTCTTCTGGAAGAGCATTCCACCACCAAGCCCGCGCCCTGTTTGAGGACACCAGAAAGTTTTTATTTCTGGAACGGAACGCTCTTCCAGGGGCATACTGGAAGTCCCGAAGTTATGTAAGTCCCTGACCGCTATGGGCCTTAAAAGTCAAAACCAAAACCTTGAACCTGATCCGGTGCTCCACTGGAAGCCAGTGCAGCTTACGCAGCACTGGTTGAATGTGTGTTGTCCAGGGGGGTCCCGGTAAGGACCCGCACGGCTGCCTTTTGGACCAGTTGGAGCTTCCGGGTCAGGTGCAAGGGCAGGCCTGAGTAGAGTGAATTACAGTAGTGTAGCCTGGAGGTGACCATTACATGGATTACCGAGGCTAGGTCAGGGTGAGACAGGTAGGGAGCCAGCTGCCTGACCTGACGAAGTTGGAGAAATGCCAGCTTGGCAACCTTTGCAACCTGTGCTTCCATAGACATGGAGGAATCCAAAGTCATGCCCAGGCTCCTGATGGCCTGTGCTGGTGACATAGGCACACCCTCAAGAGTCAGGAGCTGGTAACCTGATTGAGTCTCTCCCCTACCCAGCCACAGAACCTCTGTCTTACCTGAATTCAGTTTCAGTCGACTCTGCTTTAGCTATCTCACCACAGCCTCCAAACCTTTGGCTAAGTTCCCGGGAATGGTATCTGGCTGGTCACCCATCAGCAGAAATAGCTGGGTGTCATCAGCGTATTGATGGCATCCCAGCTCGAAACTCCGCACTAGCTGGGTGAGGAGGCTTTGGGTTCACTGCTGTGAGGTAAGTTTTGTGGTGCACAAGTAGAAAATGGAAGTCACTGAGGGCAGGAATTATATATTAACAATAAAGAAGATTTATTTATTTACAAGTAGGTTTCAAGGAACAAATCAACAGCACAGGTCTCCGGATAGACAAAAGAGAACCTGGCTGAGGCACATCAGTTTAGAGTTTCAGCTTTAATTCTTCCAAGCATACAGGCTTTTACCAAGTAGCCACTAGGTTGGATCCAAATACACGCATGATCCCACCCTCACCAGCCTGTTCTTTCCTAAGAGTCGGGCTAAAAGGCATAATAAGGTCTGCTTAGTGCCAGAGACAGGCCTAACACTTCGGTACTCTATTCTTGGTCAGAAGGAGAGCCAATGAGAGTAACACTCCCCTAGGCCTCAAGTGAGTGGCTGTTTCCCCCTTCAGGGGCAGGGACAGCCTTCTATCCCTCAGATATACTTAATATTAAATTGAATAGGTGACATTGTTTTCAATTCTGTTCCATAAAGGTTAGTTTCTAACAGACTAAACTGTCATGAGCTATCTCATCAAATTTCATGAGGCTAGTGCTCAATGGTATTGGTTAGCTTCTCTAGAAAGCTGCACTGACACTTGGTTTGATATATAAATGTTGGCCATGTTAAGCCAGCATTCCTGAACAGCAAATAATTTCTAAGAAACACAATTTGTGTGTTTTAATTTCAAACAAATGTACCCATTTTTTCCTATCCTCGTCATATATAAACAACTTTTTAGCAGCATGGTTCAGATTAACCTGTGTTTTAAGAAATCCAACTTACTCATGTGAGGAAGAAACCCATGTAAATATGGGTTCAACAGTGCAAGATAAAAGAACCCTTGAAAAGGCATCTGAAACTGAGGTGGCTCTGGAGAGGGCAACATACACAGAAGGATGTGTGTGATTCTCTATAGGATAGGATCCTGTAATGGCACTTTCCTTCTATCAACTAAGAATTAGTATCATAGCACAATAGTTCTAGTGGCTATTAGGAACTGCAGAAAGAGAAAAATACCCAAAAGCTTCTAGCCATAACTTGCTCTTCTTTCTCCTCCTCTGGCTGGCTTGGGAGTCTTAAGATGACCTGTTCTAGTCATCTCCAAATGCTAATGATGGATTAGTGCCCCAATTCACAAATTCTCATGTATACAGCATGGTGATGACTTGCAGCAGTGTGTGAACATTCTGTGTCTACTTACCAAAGAGATGTTGGCGGCAGAGTTTAGGGCAGTGGTGGTGAACCTATGGCACGGGTGCCAGAGGTGGCACTCAGAGCCCTCTCTGTGGGCATGCGTGCCATCGCCCCAGCCAGGGCCAGACCATCATTAAAGTGTCGAATTCTCTGCCAAATAATTTTAAGTAAATGAAAGCATTTGGGATTGCTTTCCTTACTTTGTTTGGATCATCTTAAGTTAATGTATGAGTTGTTTTTTCTAAAGTAAAACCTCAGTATTCAGGTTAAATTGCTGTGTTGGCACTTTGCGATAAATAAGTGGGTTTTGGGTCGCAGTTTGGGCACTCGGTCTCTAAAAGGTTCGCCATCACTGGTTTAGGGTCATACTGCTGAACTGGTAAGCCTTTAGTGTTTTGTCAGTGCACAGTTTGTATAGTATGTGCCAGAATAATCTACCCATGAAACTGAAATCTCTTTAGGTCTGACTACATGAGACTTTGTTCTTGCAGGTCACACAACTACCAAGCCAAAGCATGTAGATTAAAATCATTGTACTGAATGGGAAAAGAATAACTAAATTAGAAAGAGGAAAGTAAATGGATTAATGCATAGCAGTGCACTTGGCCTACATTAATGAGAAATTCTTCTTGTAGAAACAGAAGGGTCAGAAGACGACGACAAAGAGAATGACAAAGCAGAAGACGATAAGGAAAATGACTCTACAGTTGAAGAGAAGGTGATGTATGCGTAAATGCTTATTGCAGTAGCTGATCAAATCTTTCATGAATTAAGGCATATTGGATTCGATCCAGTAATCTGCTTGTGGTATGGAGCTTTCCTGCTGTATCTTCTCGCTCCCCAAATACTGCCTCTGGGGTTCAGGGAACACTGGGTGCAATATGGGGGGCCTGCAGTGAGAAAATTGGCAAAAATCATGCACACATGCCCTAGTGACAGAAGGCCCTTTTATTTGCAGAAACAGAATATAGGTTTGAGTCAGTTGTCTCAATGGAAAAGAGCTAATTACAGGTGCTTTATAAAACACAGTAGAGTACTGAAGTGAGCAGCTAGACCTTGGACCTTGAGAAGCAGGATTATAACATGCATCCAGGTTACCTCTCTGTCCAGAGTTATTTAACATGATGCTAAAGGCTGTGCCAGATAGCCCCTTCAAATGTACGCAATATGAATAAATTCTAGTCGGGACCTGCTTAAATAGCTAATTTAGCATTTGGCTTGATTTGACCATATGAAGTCAGTTCTTAACTGAGTATGCCACGGTATTCTTCCTATTTCCTGCTCTTAAAGTAGTTTCTTGGAACTGGTCTTATCACAGCTGTCGTGATCCCAAGAAATGTCTTGTGTCTTTTCCCAAGTAGTGCCTACTGATTAAAAGAGCATGGGGAGCTATTAGTGATTTAACCTGAGCTAGGACAGTTTTGAGGGAATGTGCTCTTCTGTAAACAGTCAAAGGTATAACTGCTTGAAAATCAAAATGATTTGTTCTATATTCATTCAGTTCCATTATGGAAATTGGGTTCAGGAGCAAGAAGAATTACTCGGTGCCATTCATTGTTTTAATACCACTTTCTTTGACATTGTTTTCACAAATATGGTAAATTGAACTATTTGAATGTGGTTTTTTTGTCAGCAGTCATTTCTTGTTGGAGGAGTTACTAAGTGAAATAGGATGTATATCACCTTTATTTGTGTGACATAGCTTAGGTAGTTTCCAGGCAGTGTTGGGCAAGCAGTTCATTGGAGATCTGCAACTCTTGTCTTGGCTTGGTTGCCGTACTTTATGATGGTCATCAGATCTTCTCCTCAGAATTCTGCACAGGGTGGGGAGAGGGCATTGTGCTGAACAGTATGAGAATTGCACTGCTTCAGGGGCGCTCAGTATGACAGAATGGCCCCCTCCTCTTAAAGGGAATACAATTTTCACAAGCTTTGGAGCAAGCAGAACACTGTATGAGACTTCTCCAACTTTTTAGTTTGAGAAGACAATATGTGTATTGCTGGCCTTCCTGCATTGCCTGAAGCTAACTTTGCTTTTGTAAAGTTAATCTGTTTGCTTCCTACCAAGGATGGCAGTTTTCCAGCTAGGAGGCAGGTTGCTCTTTTGCCCTTGCCTGACTTTGATGTATTCTTCCTTCAGGAGAGTGAAGAAGATGAAGTTGGAAACCTAGAGCTGGCCTGGGATATGCTGGAGCTGGCAAAAGTAATATACAAAAGGTATGTCTTTGTGTTGAATGAATGTTAACAGTGTTATTAAGGTGTTGCAGTTATCTTAAATTCTGTTTTTCTTTCATCTAGACAGGACACAAAAGAAGCTCAGCTTCATGCTGCACAGGCTCACCTAAAACTAGGAGAAGTTAGCATTGAATCTGGTAACTACCTTAAATTTGTTAATAGTTATGGTGTTTTTATGAATTATTTTAATTGTATTTATATAGTACTTTTATGTAAGCCGCCCTGAGCCTGTCTTGGTGGGAAGGGCAGGGTATAAATCGAATAAATAAATAAATTAATTAAAATACACATACAGGGAGTTAAGTTAAATGTCCTGCACATGGTCTTTGTGCATATGGCAGTTCATTGTATGACTAGTTGTATTGTATAAAATCTTATGCTGGACAGCATTTTAGTTTACATCCACTGCAGATATTATCTACGTTTCAGTAATTTGTGGCACATGCATTAAATATGCATTCAATATCTATGTCTTGTCGTATTGTTCCATATGTGGCATCTCCTTCAGGGAATAGGGTGGGCAGCTTTGACTTTTTGTTATGTTTCACTGTGTCCAGGCAGTGTTGGATACAGTAGTCAGGATAATGGAAGCTAGAGGAGATCTTACACTGCCCTTCAACTTGGAACTACCGTTATAAATACATTATAAAAGTCTAATGTTTAAATATTTATTAATGCATGGACCATAATTCAATAGAAGCCTTCTTCCAGACTATATGTACAACCAAGGAATGAGCTGGGGGGGAGGGTAGCTTGAAGGTGGTGTTTATGAGAATAAAACTGCATTGATTTTTCTGGCGTCTTGTGCAGAAAACTACATCCAAGCCATAGAAGAGTTCCACTCCTGCCTGATCCTTCAGCAGAAATATTTAGAGGCCCATGACCGTCTGCTTGCAGAAACTCACTACCATCTTGGATTGGCCTATCATTACAACAATCAGTATGATGAAGCAGTTCTGCAGTTCAGTAAATCAGTGGAAGTAATAGATAAAAGAATGGGTAAGTAAAAACACTAGAATACACATTCACTCTCATACAATTTTAACAGAGAATTAAACTGTTGTACACTGTATGCGCCAAGCTCCAACACTGGTCATTTTGTAACCGGTATTCAGGATACTACTTTCTTGAAGGAGTACTAAGAGCTAGTAAGTCAGGTAACAAAAACAGTTTGCTATAACAGGTGAACTATTGCTGAATCTAGAAAACCTGCTTAATCCAGCAAATATTACCATATGAACTTTGTGCAAGGACCAGAGTTGACAACACAGTTCAAACACTATTAATAGCTTCTGATGCTTCCTCCTTTAGTGATGCTCACTGAGCGGCTAAGAGCAAAAGGAGAAGGATTAGCTGAAGATGAGAAGGAAATTGAAGAACTAAAGGGATTGCTTCCTGAAATTAAAGAAAAAATAGAGGATTCAAAGGAGTCTCAAAAGAGTGCAAGAGTGGCTGAACTGGCTCTAAAAGCAACTCTGGTATGTTACAGCCCTGTTTTGTAGTGAGATGGTTATGCCACAAGCTGAATGCTTAAAAGCAAATGTACATGTTCCTATATAAATTGGGTGTGTTGTGGCTTGGCAAAATCCCTCTTACTGTGCCTGAAAGGTGTTGTATAAAAATGTCAAAGACAGGGCAAAAATATTTGCATCCAGGGAAAGATTGGAAAGAGCGAGTGCCATTGATTCTTGCTTTACATTTTTAATTGGAAATAATGAGGAATTTCTCATTCCTGATTCCAGATTTCTAAGGTGTTTTGCATTCCTCTGGTGTTAAACCCATATTGTAATTGCAGGCTTTAGTGCAAGATTACAGGCGGTAATTGCCAAATGGAACTTTGGAGATCCAATGGATGACTTCTAGCTAGGCAGAAATACAACTCATTGAAGATCAGCTTCCTATTTATTTAAAGAGCATTAAGCCTTAAGCTTTACAAGTACAGCCCCAAAACTTGAAAGAATGCATACAGAATAAAAACAGTGGAGAGAAGTGCCTGTTATAGACTTCATCACATTAAAGAACCTGAAGGTTCTTTAGGCAAGTACCTTTGTCTAAGGCCTGTGTGAATTTGGGGCATACCTCCCCTATTTAGTAGACTATTTAATAGGCTATTAGTACAGACTAATGGGTTTCTTTGCCTCCAGGTTGGTGGATCATCTTCTAGTTTTCCCCAGGGATCTGAAAGCAGTTTGACTTCAACTGTAAGTGGTAGCAGCTAAAAATAAAGCAAGTTTAATGGAAATGTGGTGAAATATTTGATAGGAACTTTCTGACTTCTGTTTTGTAATAGAATGCAGTTGGACAAACAGCTGATGGAGCATCGCAGTGTATTACAGACATCTCCCATCTTGTTAGAAAAAAGGTGTGTGTCAGTTGGAGCTTACAAGTACACTGGCTTGAAATAGTTATGTCTCTTTGTTAAAGGTTGTACTAGTCCTACATAAGATCCTTTCCACTGGGAGCCAATCAGTCTGGGAACCATCCAGTTTCCTTGGTAGGTTTTGATGGTTTTTTGTGCTGTGCAGCACCTACCTGACCCAGCCTGGTTTAATTTCAAAGCTTAATTGTGTGGGTCCTGCAGGCACTCAAACTTGGCTGTGTTTAAAAAAAAAAAAAAATTGGCTGTGTTAAGGACCAGAAAGGTTGTGCTCTTAAACATTCACCCTGAGCAAAGATAGCATGGAGTTCATAGAAACTGAACTTCACAGCCAACAACCAGGCTGAACTGGGTTCCCATAATTCAAGTGGAAATGGAGAATTGGTTAAAATAGCAAAGCTAGTCTAAGAAGTTATGTGTACACTTGCACAACTGTCAGTACATAGTAAATCCACTACTATTCTAGCAAATCTAACTTAGAAGGTAGAAGTCTTTTATTCAGTATAGAAGTGGGACTCAAACAGAAGCAACATGCATCTTGTGAACTCCACTCTGGTCTGAATGTGAACTCCACTCTGGTCTGAAATAGAACTTGTAGAAGTTCCCCTTCTGACACCTGGGAAGGTTTATTACTGGGGTCAGGGGACCTACATCGATTAATAGCCGTGGGTCAGGAGGCTGCAGCAGCAAGAGGATAAAATTTCTCTTTTTTTTCCAGTCAGCAAAGCTGCACTGACAGAAAAGGGAGGAGAGGGTATTTTTGCCTTGTTTTCCACTGCAGCCAGGTAGCTATTAGTGCACAAAGGTCCTGTGGCCTGGGAATAGATTTTCCCAGGGTCAGAAAGGACTACTGGATTTGTCCTATAGGCTACCAGACAGTGGTCCATGCACGATACTTTTTAATTAAGACTTTAAAAATGAAGTTATACTTTGTGAAGACTAAACAATTTTGTCTTCAGAGGAAACCAGAGGAAGAGGCTCAACAGGGAGACAATGAAGCTAAGAAATCTAAACCAGAACCGGCTGTCAATGGTGGTGGTGATGCTGCCCCCAGTGGAAATGAGGTTGCAAAGAAAATGGAAGAGGAGGTGGGCAGTTGAGTTCAGGAGTTGATATATAAACGTTTCTCTTCCTGGGCATACTTTACTTGCCTATTTTTAATTGCCTGCTGGTATTCTTTCTCCCCTTCTTAAGCCTGGAGTCACTCACGTTAGAATGCATGCTGGGGTCTCTATCTAACTTTAATTTGGACATCTGGGTGCCACACTAGTTCTATATATTTGCAGGTAGCAGAGCACACAGTTTAATTCCTTAATACAAGCAGGGGACCCAAAAGGACTTGTGGGGGGCATCTCATTTTCCCTCACTGTTAATGCTTTAAATTCCCTGAAAGCCTCTATATTCTCACCTTTCTTTGTTTGCTTCTCTCCTTTCCAACCATTAAGTAACCTTTTATTTGCCCTCCCATCTTCAGCTCTATTTATTTACTTCATTTATACCCCACCTTTCACCACAATGGGGACCCAGAGCACCTTACAGCATTCTCCTGCCCTTCATTTTATCCTTAGAATAACCCTATTTGGTGGGATAGGCTGAGTGTAAGTGGCCCAATGTCACCTAGTGAGTTTCCATGGCAAAATAAGGATTCGAACCTGGGTCTCCCAAAACATGATCTGAAGCTCTTAAGTACTACACCCATACAGCTTTCAGTGTGGTAGCTGCTGTTGAACAGTAGTGGGCAGCTGGGCCTGGGTGAGTCATGGAAGTTGTGTGGTAGCAAGTCACCTGTGATTGCTGCCAGGCCTGGCCCTCATGCGACCTCCCTCAAATGCGAAAATAGCCCTGCCCCCTCCCCCGCAGTCTTTTATGACTGAAACAAAGGCTAGAAGGCTGGCAAGACTGTTGTGGCTGCCTAGCAATGGCCACTGAGGGCATTTGTTTCTTCTAGTATTTTGGGGTCCCCCCCCCCCCCCCCCCCATATTTGTTTTTACATTTCATTTTTTTTTTTTTTTGCGAGCCTGGGCCTGTTCTCAGGTTTGTAGAAGGATGTGGCTCCAGTCTCTAGATTTACAAGTATCCACAGATGGAGCCACGTTTTGAAGTAGATATATTGGTTATTTCAGTAATATTATGCAGGAGTCTTAATCCTGCACAGTTTCTCAAAGCAGCAAGTCAAATAATCTGTGTATACCTTTGTTAACTTGTGACATTTGCTGAAACGTGGCCATACCTTCACCACCAGTTAATACTGTACTTTAAGAGTTCTGAATTTATTAGAGGTGTTGTGTGAGTCAACTGTTGTGATAAAAAGGAATTTATGCTAAACTACACTTTTCTTTTTACAGACAGAAGAGAGGCCACAAATTGATACAGTTCAAAGTGCTGTATGATAGATCTTTACTATTGAACACTCCCTCCCAAGGACAATGGGTTTTGTATATAATGTATTTTTTCACTTTGACAACTTTTGTATTCAATAAAGATTGTATGCAAACATTAATTTTGCCTTAGTTGATGCATGTTTCAACAAATAATGGAACTACATAGCCCAGCCTAAAATGAATGTTGGGCTTGCCCTATAGCTAGGTCTTTCCTACATGATCCATTATGTCTTGAAATGGGCTGGTACTTAAAACAAAAGTGCTGTTGCTTATGTCCCACCTCCCATAAGGTTCTTTCAGTGTGGTATTGGGTAGGCATTTAGGAAGTGAAATATCTTGTGTGATGTTTCTATAGCTTGGCAGCATTGATGGAGCAACTGATGGTGGGAAATGCTTTCAAGTTGTAGCTAATTTATGGCAACTCCCCTTATGAGGTTTTGAAGGCAAGAGACCAACAGAGGTGGTTTGCCATTGCCTGCCTCTAGGTATCAACCCTGGACTTCCTTGTAGTCTCCCTTCCAAGTACTAACCAGGGCTAACTCTATTTAGCTTCTCAGGTCTGACTAGCCTGGGCTACTTAGGTCAGGCTGCGTAGCAGTTACCTTACTTTATATTGACATTTCAAAATAAACCCAGGAGAATTTGGAGGGTGGTTACTGGAACCTCTCCCCAACATGCCCACCAAATTTCAAGAAGATTGGTTTTTTCCCACCATAGAGAACAATGGAGGAATGGGGGCAACCTGTTTGGGGGCCCATAGAATTGGACCCCCTGGTCCAATCTTCTTGAAATTTGGTGGGCATGTTGGGGAGAGGTTCCAGAAACCCCCCCCCAAATTTAGAGCCTCTCCCTCTAACCCCCCCCCCAGGGGTCCCTTCCCCCCTCCCCCCCAGCCCCCCGCAAAGTTTCAAGAGGTTTTTTGCCATTGACTTCAATGGCCCCATTGGTTATAATGGACCCGAATTTTTCGGGTTTCCCAAATTTTTTCGGGATTTTTTTTTTGGGATTCGGAAAAACGCATAGGAAGCCATTTCGGGATTGCAAAAGCCGAAAAACGTTATTTTCGGCTTTTTTTCGGTTCGGGATCCCGAAATGCACATCCCTAGTTACATTTACAAAGTAAAATTTCAGGAGTACCCTGCTAATTTTATGTCCCAGTAGCATCAACTAAAGACAGTAGAACATGTAGTTACTTCCATTGCATTGTTGGGGGGGGGGGGATGGATCACTGAAAACTAACATGGTGTTTAGCACATCCAAGGTGCTGCATGAAAAGTGGTGAATGTTGAGCACTTATCTGTTGCAACAGTCACTTGCCATGACATTACAATGAATTACATTATCACTCCCACTACCTGAAAAGTGACATTAAGAATTTTTGCTTTGCTATTTATTTGGTTGTCAGGTGATTTCATAACTTTATTTGGATTATTATGTGCATTCAGGTATTAAAATGTCCACTTGTACAATTCTTGCCTGAAAAATATTAATATAAAAATGTTGAAACCACCAGGCTTGCCTAATATTTACTGGCAATGAAGCAAGCCATCTTTAGAAACAAATGTTCTGCCCCCATCTCTGATAACATTTAATCTGTAGCATGCTATAAAACATTCTGTTGCAGTAATCTCTTCATGTCTAATGGAAGTGTCTTACAGCTTTTTACTGTGCTAGATTTGTTCCAGTATGAGCTGTCCTGCCTGAAATGAAGTAGAACAGATATCAATATTTTTAAAACATGCATTTGTCATACAGAACAGGAAGAAGCTTATTTCCAAAGATTTCACTTTTATAAAAGACAAGTGGGGAACACGGGAGACTGGAGGAGGATTCCATTCTTACTTGCCCTCCCATAGCCCCCACCTACCTAAGAGGCAGTGAACAGTGGCTGCTCCCCGTCCTCCCCTGGCTGCAAAATGCTGCTGCTATAGTTAAGAGCTGTTGGCTGTCTATGCAGTGGTTGTCTGGCTGGCCCTCCCTCTCCCCACTCAGGTTTTACTTTCCTCTTGTCTTGAGTGGATTTAGTTTTTTTCTGCAAACCTAGCAGGTTCCCAGCTTACTAGAAGTTGGGGCCTGGACTTAACTGGGGCTGCAGGGTAACTGGCAGGCCTGTGCGTCCACATGGGTGGGACAGTTTGCGTTGTGGCTCTTGGCAGCCTGTGGCCAGTTGCCTTGACTGGGGGGGGCTGGGGGTCCTTCCCTGGGACTGCTCCTCCCATTCTTAAGGCCATGTGGCTGTCAGGTGCCCTCCTCAGTGCATTTCTTGGCCCTCAGTTTTCTGGTTTGCAGTGCAATATTTTGCTTGTTTTCTCTTAACTGTCACTGCTTTGGTCAGTTTTAGGCACTGGGCCGCATCCATTTTAGACCTGCATGCCTGCCTTCTCCAGTTGAGGAAGCCCCTTAAGGTATTTTGGGAGTAGAGCCAATTAGTGGCATACTCTGCTTGGGGGCTGTTCCTTGGCGTATGCTTATGTTGGTTCACTTCACTTGCCATCCCAGGTCAACTCCCAGCAGGCGGGCTGGGCTGGGTTCCTATTGGCTGTCAAGCAGGTTGCCCAATGCCTGGATCCATACCCATATGCTGCACCATGCTCCTGCTGCTGTAATCAATAAAGCTGTGGCCTGTTTCACCCCAACCCTGTTTTTGTGTGCTTGTTTGTTTTGGGCTGCCTGCTCTCCTGCCCTTAGGATCTTTCTGCATGGCCCTGATCTGTGAATTTAAGCATCTGCAGCAGCTCTCCCCTCCAGCAAGACACCTACAAGGTTCTTCCTCTGTCACTGTGCTTCCCCACCTGCCTATCTCCTTCCCCACTGCTGTCTGTGTGTGTGGGGGGGGGTGGCAGTGGTAATTCCTGCTCTCTTTCTCCCACCCACCTTTAGTGCCTCTGTACTGTCTGGCTATGAGCAATACACAAATGGTTTAATTCTGTGATCTGTAATATCCCATAAGGCTGCAAAATCTCATCTACCTGTTGTGATGTCTTTTGTGGCATTAATTCTGCAATTTTAGCTCCAGAGGCTTCCTTATAGTACATATCCAGAGCATTCTTGGGCATGTAGGATTGGTCAATGTCCTGGGACAGGGAGCCAAGATAGTTCAATTAAGCACATGGGAGGAATAAAATTACATGCCCATTCATTAACATTTTACTGTGCTTACCTGCATTGTGTACCTGAATTCTTCATCCCACCGTCCATCAGCTATACGGACAAGTACAGATGCACCTTCCACCAATTTGATCTGCATGAGAACTTGAATTTATCTATTTTCTGTATTCAGTACATTCCTTATTAAAGAGTGTTACTGCTGTATTACAGTATTGGCATTAGACTGGAGATGGTAGAGCCCAACGACTAAGTATGGGAGTAGGGGTTGCCTGAATAGGACTAGATTTACTTGCAAATGTCCCGGAACCCTGATGCCTTCTGCTCCCACCTGAGAGATGGATGTCAGTTTTCTTTTGAGGGATTATGTGGGGCAAGAGGAAATACCCCAGTGGTGACAGAGCAGAAGAAAGATGTCATTTTCATAGCTAATTTTTTTTTTACTAATGCATAGAAGTGAATTTTGGAGGCTAAGTAACCACAGTATTTTAAGTTCTGCACATACATGAAATTAAAGTGTAACCCTAAATGCTGGCACCATGTACAAAAAATACTAAATGTTTTGTGCAAGGATTATAGTTTATTGAATAATTTGGTTACAAGTACAGAGAAGAAATAAAAAGCATCAGTAGTGCAATATTTGAAGGTGGAAAACCTCCCATAAGGGGCTAAAAAAACAGCACAAGGGGAGTGGAGGTTTAAAGTGAGTCCAATCCCAGGGCTGTCTCGGCTAATGTAACTAAATACAGTGGGACCATGAAGATAACAAAACCAAAATACAGCATGGAGAGTACAAATTACTCAAGGTCAGATAACATTAAAGTCCTACTTAAAGGCATATGTGTCAAATACGATTAATGAAAAAATCGTGCATAGAGATTGGAATATAGATTCCTTAGTATGATCCACATATTACTCATTAAAGCACTAAGCCTTTGAAACAAATACACAAGTGCAAGTATACACAGTCCGTTTACTGGTCTTGCTCTAGGGAGGTTTCTTTGTGTATACTTGCACTTGTGTATTTGTTTCAAAGCCTTAGTGCTTTAATAAGTAATAAGTATATATGGATCATACTAAGGGATCTATATTCCAATCTCTATGCATGATTTTTTCATTAATTGTATTTGAAACATATGCCTTTAAGTAGCACTTTAATGTTAACTGACCTTGAGTAATTTGTGCTCTTCACTGTGTATTTTGTTTTTGTTATTGTGGGCTATTGTAACTGGCAGCAGTCTCAAATCTCTCTTAATCCTGCTACCTAAAATCACTTTTTCTGGAGTTCGTTTGCTCTGCCTAGTCTCAGTAGCATTTTGGGTAGATGAGACTTGGAAGGAAAGTGCAAATCTGTGTCTTGTGCACTCAAGATTTCCTTAATCTGTGCAAAGAAGGCTTGCAAGGAAGCATACTCTTTCAAGGGTATAACCTTATTTTTGTAGACTTGAGGCTCATTTTGTCTTGATTTTTTTACAAAGCTAAAATCCATTACATATTTCTACTTACCATGTTCTTACGGAGCAAATTGTTCATAATGCTGCTGCATTTCCCTTGGGATAAGGAATGCAGGATGACCTGTCAGGGAATAATAATTAAATGCCATAGAATAAACTTGTAACTTTGTACCCTTCTTCCAGCTGACTGTACCATATGATGATTTTAGACCATTTCACAGAAAAGGGAGGAATGAACCTTTATGATACATTTTGGAGCAAACTGATGTGTTGTAAAATTTGAGAACCAGAATTCTGTACTAAAAAAACTCACACTCTAAGCCACAAAATTGTGGATGGTTAACTAATCGCCAGTATATACTAGGGAGTCTGTAACTGATAACCCTAGAACTAAAGGTTGCCAATTGAGGTACATGTTCTCAGTTGCTAACCCAGAGGTGAAAGACAAGAGTGATGGTTGAGCAAAATGTTATTTTCTGCATCCTAAGAAACTTCTATGAAAGGAATGAAATAGTGAAGGTGAATGAAAGACGACATTTGGGGACAACTGATGTAAGGACTTGACTGCTGGAAATGAATAGGTGCTGTGGAGCATGAAGGTCATACTCGGAATCCCTCTAATACCTGATCATGACAAATACTGCTTTCACAGTTCAAAACAGCTTCTATATGATGATTATAAATGTGCACTAAGAAGTGAGAGTTATGCTACTTCCAAAGTCACTTTAAGATGCAGGTAGAAAGGTAGAAAGATAAAAAGTTCATTATGATCTATGCAAGAAAGGTAACGAGTTTATTATAATTATGCATCTCTAATACCTGTGTGCGTGCTTGTTTTAAAAATATTTAGCATTCTAGGAAATGCACCGTATTCTAAACTGTAAACTGATGTCTATGACATAGCTATAGGTGTGGAGATGCCCCATGACATACCGTAGCTCATGGGTTCTTAGAACTGTTGAGCCTGCAGGAACATATGGGATTTGAAATGAGAACAGTGGGAACTACCACAAAATAGCTGCTACAAGGGTGGGGCCAATAACAACATGCTGAGAGGTTGCATGAAATATTGGAAGTCCCTAGTCAAATGGTCTCCTATGGCAGAGCCACCTGCTTCTAAAGGGATGCTCCTTTCAGATGTACAGGCAATACCTCCTGTGTTCTTAGGAAGCATCTTTTGCTCCATGTAGGCAAAGGAAAGCCAAAGTCAACTCTACTTTGGAAAGAGATACTATTCAGTTGCATTTTCCAGAAAAAATATACGTCTGCTCCATGCATAGTCGCAGGGAGAGCTTTACAAGCCTAGAGACATGCCAAGGATGCACAGCTGTGATGCATGCATATGGGCAATGTTCCCTCTAAGCTGTGGAGTCTTGTGAGCAAAAATTCTACTTTGTGAGCTACTGGCATGAAAGTTGTGAGCGAGCGATTTGGCTACTGCATAATTAGTTTTCTCTGAAGTTCTACTGGGGAGGACTGGTGGATTAGCTAAAACCTGATAAGACACATAATTAGGTTTCCCTTATACCTGGCTGGGAGCCCCCTGGTACAGAGGCAGCTGGTAAACTCCAGTATTGCAGTAATCTCTAGAGAACACATGGAGTGCAGTCCATGCCTCACTTCTCAGAGTATAATGTAACTGCTCCTTCTTCAGGGTGACTCTTCTGTGGGTGGTTTGGATATCTTCTTTTTGACCCAAAGCATCTTGGTCTGAAGTCACCTTGCTCTCATACAAGTGGATAATCACCGATGAATATTCATGGTAAGCCCTGTGTGGACAGGACTGAGAAGCAAAAGTTATTACAGGTCTTAAACAGAAGGTTGATCCAGCTATTGCACAGGCACAGGGATCTGGAAATAGCCACCAGTGGTTACTGTAAAGTTAGTTCTAGTAAGTAGCATGAAAAGCTCTGGAACACACTGCAGGAATGTGTGCAACTAACCCATTCTGCTGCAGCTCTTCTCTGGCAAAGGGAGATTTCAGTTAGCAGGAAGAGCACCTTCTGCAGGCAGAAATCTCCCTTCCGACACCAGAAAACCTCTGCAAGCAGCAGGATGGTCATTGGATACAGCCCACTGGGTCCTTAAAATTTCTATTTGTGCAGAACATTGGTGAGAAGGAAGTGTTTTCTACAGCCACACATAGCTTGGCATTACTTTTTGGAAAGCTCTCTCAGACCAGTGGGCCCAAAATTTACATACTTAATTTACTTGTGTGAATTGGGGAGTAAGAAAGCTGAAGCTTTATGTGTAGTCTCTAGTACTCTGTCCAAAATGTGTGAAATCCTATTAGGCTTTCAAAGACAAAGATACAACATCTGAGTACAGATTCAGTAGTGACAGAACCATCAGCCTAATTCCAGAACTGACAGATTGCTATAGTGAACCTTATTACTGTGTTTAGCTTTCCTGAGCCTTCCCCATCTCACCCTCCACAAATGCAAGGCAGTGCCCTTACATGTAATGAATGTTTAATTTCTGGGACTGCCAGGCCCCAGAGGCCCAGGCCAATAGATATTGCAGGATATTTAGATGGATGCTGTATCAACCACTTTAAAAATATGGATGAGTTCACCTCTAGACCTCTCAGCAGCTACCTTTTCAGCAAGATGTGCGCTCAGTACATTTATCAGTAAAATCTCTTTTTAGCCAAGTATAACACTCCCACAAAATGGAATACCTTGAAGCCATCAAGCCATATGGGCCATTGCTGGAAACTGTTGGCATCAAGTGCCTCGACAAAGATGGGGTAATCATACTTCATCCACTGACTCCCATAATAAAAAGCTGCAGGTGGGTTGAAGCAGAAGTGGGCCATTGTCAAGCCAACCCAAGGCAAGTTAATGGCTCTGTCCAGGGCAAACTAGAACAAGACAGAAATTATAGAGTTAATCTAAATAACAGCATCACATGCAACAGAGGCATCTTTGGCCAGCAGACATGGTGGAAAACCGGTTTCTTGACTGTACCATATTAGATTGCAGGCTGAAATAGGGTCATATAATAGCATGTACCTACAGACAAAAAAAATGTGCAGAGAACTTGTTCATAAGACAAAGCCTAAGCTTTCTGACATATCAGTTGTCTGTGCAGGGACTTCCTTTTGTACAGAGGTGCATTTGATCAAGTTCCCTCATTTTGTAATCTGCACTGGTTAGGGTTACCAAGTACTTATCGCGATTCGGCAGGGGACACATGATCCCCGGCCAGAACATTCCTCCCTGTAACACACCCACGCCGCACCATGCCGTCGCCAGGAAGTGACGCCGGGTGACGCTCTGACAATGGGGCTGGAAACTCGGTACCATTGAGTTTCCAGCCCCATTGTCAGAGCGTCACTCGGCGTCACTTCCTGGCGACGGCATGGTGCGGCGTGTCTGTTTTCCGCACGGGAATGGTCCTGGGAAGAAGAATGTGTCCCCCACCGAATCACGGTAAGTACTTGGTAAGCCTGGCACTGGTCCAGCTGAAAAAACAACTTGCTCATTTGCTGTTTGTATTAACTAGTTCTTCCTAAAACCCTATGTTATTGACAGTGAATCAGAAACCACAGCAACACAGTTGCTTCCATGCCATTCTGGTATTATTTAAGAGGCCGAAATCATGTAGCTAAGGCCATTTCAAATGTTGCTGATGTAGATCAGTTGCTCTGAACCAACAGTCCATTGTGACTTGTATGTTTGTACAAGTCTTCAAACTGTTTTGTAAATAACCTTTTGCTCAGCATCATGGATCATTCATATAACAGAGCCTTTCTGCAATGGGATATCAACTCTATTAGGAGAACAATGTTTGAGTCCAGTGGCTCCTTTAAGACCAACAAAGTTTCATTCAAGGTAACTCTGTTAGTGTTATACAGCTGGTGGCCTCCAAGAAGTTCTTTTTGGCAAACTGATTGCCAGCCTACAGATGACAATGTCCTGTGGAACAAGTGATGGCTACTGGCAATGAAATTTGCCAGCTTTTCAGCTGGCCCCTGTGGCTATGCCTTTAACAGCAGCTCTAGATACAGCAATGAGCAGCAAGTGTTTCTCTCCATGCTATTAAAAGCCTCACCAGCTTGAAAAGTCCAGACAGCAGTAACCGAGGGACTAACTTGCAACATAAGAGAACATACTTAAAAGTCATGTATTAGAACCAATCAAAATGAAACACAGCAGTGTGCAAGCTTTCAAGTTCTCCAAGACTCTTCACAAGGGGGCATTTTTCTTAAAAGATGGACAGGAGGTGTTTCAGTCCCTGCTCTTAAAATGTTGGTAGTTTCTTCTTAACCTTCTGCCATGAAGAAGCAAAAAAATGGAGGCACCCCTTTGAAAACACAAATGTTTCTCTAGCACAAAACATGTAACAGTCCTAAGAATGTACACTTAGAACTCAGTGTATACTACTGAGTTCAATGGGACTGACTCCCTTGTAAAAGTCCTTAGGATTGCACTTGTACATTACGACCATAAGCAGAGTCACTCCCTTGTAAATCCACTGAAATCAACAAAATAAGTATGCCATAATCACTTAGGATTGCACTGGTACTGTTCTACCCCATAATGTGCAACACTAGCCTCTGTACAGGGCATTGCTATGAGCGTCAGTGCTGTTCACCTTGACACCGTAGGTTGTGATATATCTGGAGACATAGGTGAGGTTGAAAGTCTGGGGGATGTTGCCAGGTAGCCGGGTTAGTTTCTGGTGGATCCAGCTGGAGAGCTTATTATCTGTGCTTAGGCTGTTATTTCCAGCAAGCTGTTGAACAATTTCCCGAACAGAAACAACAGACCTACAAGAAGTAAAATCTGGGCTGTCAACATGGCATAGACTTGAGAAAACTGCTGTAGCTTATACCTTGTTCAACATTCAGCTGGTCCTCAACAGAGACTGGGGTCATAGAATGGAGAAACACTGACAGGATTATATCTAGAACATTTAGACTGCTTAGAAGCTGAAATTGTTTGGGGCCACTTAGAGGTTGAAAGAATCAGCTACTTGGCAGGAGGTTGGTTATATTCATTGAGATACCTGATTCTATTATTATTTAGTGTTTAAAAGTACACTAACATTTCTACAAATGTACATATGATGTACAATACACTTTTTAAAGTAACAAAACAACTTAAAAAGACAATAGCAATAAACAAATTGCAATCAACAGAAACACAGCAGCAAGATATAAGCATTTAAAGGCTTTGTAAACCAAAAACCAACTACAGTGATACCTAGAACTTTTTCCAAGGGCCTCTTTAGGAAGGCTGGCCCACAGTAACTCTGCCCTGGGCAGGAGAAGACTCATGATATGATCCTAAACAGAGTTACATGCTTCTAAATCCACAACTTCAGAGGGTACAACTCTGTTTAGGTTTGCACTGTTGAACTCAAAATGAAGGATGACTTTGCAAACACAGCCTCCCATACCAGCTGAACTTAAAGTAGGGGGTTATATCCAGATCACATGAAGCTGAAAGGCAAGCTTTTTCAGTCAGTCTCTGATCCAGATGATGTTGTTAGCATAAGTCCCCCATTCATTTCTGCGAGGACTCTCATAGGACATGCACATCACATTGTCAAGATGAAAATTAACAATGAATCCCCTTATGTGAATAGAAACATACAAGAAGGGGGACCCGCGATACTTGTGGAGGGGGAGAAGCTCCACAGGAGGAGAAGGAAGCAGCTGCAAGTGAGCCTTCTCCCCTGCCCCCCTGTCCCCGGTACCCACGGTGAGGCCCCTTTTTTTAGCCCTCCCCCCCCCCCCCAGCACCGGCGGCGAGGCCTGAACTCGGCCCGCCAAGCTTTCTCCCTCCCCCCTTCCCTAGCGGCGGTGGTGGCGAGGCCTGGCCAGCCCACCGAACTTTCTCCCTCCCCCCTGGGCTTTCTCCCTGGCGGCGGCAGTGGCGAAGCCATTCTCAGTCACAGGGAACGCTCTTTTACTTTTGGGGGGATTTAAATATCCCCCGCATATTTTCCCCAAGTGTTCAGATTTTTCTGCACATATGGGGATTGCCCCAAATGTGCAGGAAAATCTCCCTGCCCCCCAAGTGCCCCCGATGTGCGGATTTAGATATCCGCACGGAGGGGGCAACTTGGCTATTAGATCTATAGATATGACAATGAAAAGGGGTATGGAGGACTACATCTATAGCCAGGGTTTCAACACTCCATTTTCATTACCCCTGTAATTATTAGTCCAGCCCAAACTCAGATCACCTGTTTGCCATGGCCTCATAGAAGCAACTTTCTCCTGCAGACGGTTTGGCTGAATCCGAATAATAGACCCCATCAGAGTAATCAGGTCGGGCCTGGAAGAGGCCCAGTTTGGCCCAATTTGCCTGGGGGACCATGTTCCTTTGCAGGGTCTGACGGCTGGAATTCACAGGAGCCTTGAGTAGTCTCACCAAAAGGGTTGCACAGGGCACATACCTACAGGGAAGGTGGGAGGACAAATATTACAACTAAACTGAATGCTAAGGTGGGGCAGGAGTTGGAAAGGAGGTAAGTAGAGAAGGACCTACCATCCTGATGCAGTCAGAGAACTGACAGAAAAGGGCTGATCTGGACATGGGCTGTTATGAAAAATGCGGAGCTGATGAGCACCATCATTGAGAGAGACCTGATAAAGAGAGTAATCAAGATTCAATGAGGCCTTTTCCTCCTTCAACTTGTAACAGCTATGCTCTGGGAATGGCTGGGAAATAGGCGTTTTGGTGTCAGTCTTTTTGGAAAATGCTTTATGCCTATTTTAGAGTACTATCTGGCTCTGAGCTGCAGAGAGATAGTACCACTCAGGGGTCATTTGGGGGGGGACGCGGGGGGACGCCATCCCCCCGGGTGAGGTGTGGGAGGGCGGGGCCTGGAGCTCCCTGCTGGTGCCCGCTGGAGGTCGCCGCCGGCTGTGGGGAGGACACACTTCCGGTGATGTCAGGGGGTGTGGCATATGCTAATGAGTTATGCTAATGAGTCCCCCTAGCTCTTTTTCTACGAAATGACCCCTGGACAGGGGTCATTTGGGGGGGGACGCGGGGGGACGCCATCCCCCCGGGTGAGGTGTGGGAGGGCGGGGCCTGGAGCTCCCTGCTGGTGCCCGCTGGAGGTCGCCGCCGGCTGTGGGGAGGACACACTTCCGGTGATGTCAGGGGGTGTGGCATATGCTAATGAGTTATGCTAATGAGTCCCCCTAGCTCTTTTTCTACGAAATGACCCCTGCTGATAAAGTACTAATGTTGGAGACTTCTGATGCAGCTTTAATGGAAATCCATGTCTCTGGCAGCCATAGCAACAAGCTCTCCTATGAGATTCAGTGGCAGTGTACAACACTACTTCTATAGCATTTTGTTCTTTTACAAGGGAAATGAGGGTTCTTGCAAAAGTGAAACTCCTAATCTAGTTGACAGCATACCCCAGTTTAATTTCCAGAATTTAAACTGATAATTCTAGATAGCTAGTCATGCTAGTCTGTAGGCAGGAAAATTAACAGGAGTCCAGGACCATTTTAGAGACCGTGTTTGTCTCTAAAGTGCCACTGGACTCCAGAATTTTGGGCTGATTGCCCTGAATTCTACTGCAGTTAACTCACCTGGATCCTCCTAGCTCCAGGCTTGGGGGCTGTGTGTGTGCCAGATTCCACAAAAACATTGAGAGCTGCCCAGCCAATCAAGATGAGACTGGAGTTTAAACTACTAAGAGAATAAAGCTGTAAGAGATCAAGGGAGATGAGTTCCAGTTTTTGTGGTACATGTTCTCTCTAAGCTGAGTTAGTGTGAGCTAGCTCACAGTTGTTTAGCCTCCGGCTTGCACATTTTTGTCTTAGCTCAGGAAGGATGGCTCCAGAGCAAACTAATTGATGCAGTAAACAAATCATTGGCTCACACCTTTAATGCCAGTAGCTCACAAAGTAGAATTTTTGCTCACAGGACAGCTTACAGGGAGCATTGGTACCAACTGCTCATAGTTCAATTTTGTATTAAAGGTGGAGGAAGGGGTCAGGAAGAAGCTGCAGGAAACACTCATCACCACAGTGTCCTCCATTTCAGCAACATTGTCCTCAACTTCATAACTACCCCTCCCTACCCGTACTCCCCAGCAGGAACTGCTGACATTCCTTGGCACTACGCTTTGCCTGGCTGCCACTCTGATACCCAGACCCAGCACGAACCTTCAACAGGAGAGTTGCACAAGGCGGTATAAATGGCTCTCGGATTTCGACGGAGCAGTTGTAAAGTGGATCAAAAATGCTGTTGTTCAAGTCAGCCACAGTGGATATGTCTGGTCCAATTCTGAAAAGGCAACGGAAGAGCCATCTGCTGCTGAATGTAGTCGTTTGGATTTCCAGCATGACCTATAAGGCTCCTTCCAGTACTAAGGGTTGTTGTATCTAGAACAATCTGGCAATTTTCACTGATTTCTCCTTCCCGCTGCAGACCCACCCCCCTCACAGCAGAGTCTCTTCGTATCCCTCAAGAACAGCATTTCATGGAAATCTGAGGGTTGCGGGGGGGGGGGGGGGGGGGGCGGGGGGGGGAGGTTGCATGCTGCCACTGGAAGACCTAGTCTGACTTCTACGGGCCAGGATCCGGGGAGCAACTCCGATGGGGTAGAGCTCGACTCTTAGCCAGCAGTCCTGGCTAGTCTCAGACAATGCAGGAGGAACGTCTGGCTCATCCAGCCAGGGGGCATCTCGGGCGTGGAGTGCCCAGTCGTCCATGTCTTCCTACCCCCCCCCCCATTCCCCTGCGTGGCTTGGCTCTCCCCTCCAAGGTAAGTGCGGGCCGAGGGCGCTACTGCCCCCTCCCCTAGTGTGAAGTTTCCCAGGAGAGGATGAGGAAGCTACTCTGCTGTTGCAGGTATGCTGGGATGGAGCAAAACCCTTTGCAGGACCCATGGCAAAGGTACAGAGACCTCAAAACTGGTGCTAATAAGTTAATGGCCCTGACCAGAGACTCCCCTCAAGAAGAGCCAGTTCACATTTTCACATGTTTTTCAAATCATACGAGCCTTTGCCTATTGAAATATATAAACTAGCCCATCACCCTAGAGCAGTTTGCGCCAGTGTTCCCACAGTGAAAGGTATGACGTTTTATGGAGATACATGTTTATTGTAAATCATTAAAAAATAATTCATTACATCTATAATCCTCCTTTCTTTTTCAACAGAAAAATTATAGGCAGCTAACAAATTAGCATAAAATAGAACTGAGTCAAAGCAGGCGGACAGTCTTTCTGGGGAAAGGGCTTTATGAACAGAAAGCATTCTTGATATGCAAACAAACAGAATGATTGTGTGTATGCACATAAATCTGTCTGTCTGCACACAAACACACCCATCCTCCACTACTTCTGATGAATCTGTTTTTGTATTCTACTTGACAAGTCTCTTCATGTATTTGGACTATAAGAAGGAAGCCCTACAACTTTGTGTGGGACTCAGGTTGTCAAATCAGGAGTCAAGAGTCTCCTTCATCCTCCATCATTATTTTTATATTGAACTTTCTCTCAAGCGTTCAAAATATTTAACATACAATGAGTTGTATCCTACCACTTTGCTCAGCTAAGTATGGAACCCTTCTCCAGTGCAAACAACCTTTCTCTGGAGGAAGAGCACCTTCTCTTAGGAAAACAATAAACTTAGCTGAGCAGAGTGGTAGGATACAAAGAAACAACCCATTAACCCATTAACTTACGTGTACTTCACAGAAGAGCACATAAAGTGGTAACAGCCTTTTCAGACTATAGGTAGGGGATCACACAAAAGAATGCGTCTCTCAATTTAAAAAGCCCCCTGCTGTATTTAAAAACAAGGGAGAGGAATTATAAAGAAGAGCCATTCTAAATTACCATGCTCCCTCATAAGCTAGTTTTATACATTGGGCATATTTCTTTCATAGGGAAGCATTCCACTGTGCAGTTTTATCTCCTACTTCATCTACTGTTTGTGTGAACTACATACCTATTCCGGCATTACTTTTCTAGTGTGATAAACTTTGCAGCATACCTTCTTCCTGCATTGCCTGAATATGATCAGAAGACTCAGATCACCTGAGTGAAGTCTTGTGATGGCTGCTTCCCATGCCATCATCACTTTCTCTTGACATCAAGGCAATTCAAGGCTCCTGATATTATCTGAACGTCACAGGAAGGAGCCATGCTGGAGCAACACCCTTGTCATCGGAACAGGTTCTAAACCAGACCTGCATATGCAACAGCAGGAGGAGCAGAGGGAGGCTGGTGTTTTAACGAAAAGCAAAGAACCATTCTTCCTTACTGGCTGAAACTACTGGAGAAGATACGACCAGCAACCCTGGTAACAGTGACATCATCCGGCAGGAAGCGGGCTCCATCAATATACAGGTCAAAGCCATCTCCATCATGAAAGGGCTCCAAAGGAGGGCTCTCCTTGGCACCATGAATAAAAGCTTCCTGTAAATATATGTCCCAATCCATAAAGCACTGTGGTAGACACTATGTATGCTGGCCCTGTGGAGCAAATGGGAGGGCTACCAAGGTTAGGGACTCATTTCTTTTACTACACTGAACCTCCCTAAGTCAAGAAATAAATTAAAATATACAACATGCAGTGTTCCTTGTAAGCTGAGTTAGTGTGAGCTAGCTCACAGTTTTTTAGCCTCCGGCTTACACATTTTTGTCTTAGCTCAGGAAGGAACAGCTCCAGAGCAAACTATGCAGTAGCCAGATCGTTTGCTCGCAACTTTAATGCCAGTAGCTCACAAAGTAGAATTTTTGCTCACAAGACTCCACAGCTTGGAGGGAACATTGACCACATGCAGTATTTATACAAGGCTTCCCCTAAATTAGCATCCCAAAATTTACCTCTGACAGGAACTACATGGTTTTTCAGCAGACACGTATTACCAAACCCTAATTTGCATAGAGTGTGGGATGGGGTTTGCTGCCATTCACAAGTCTTAACTACTGTTTTAATCCCGTCTCAGCTATACTAACTCTAGATAGCCCTTCCTGGCAACTAATCCCCTTCCCTCTCTCTACTTATATGTAAAGCTTGAGGAAATTTTTTCCAATGTATCTGATGAAGTGTGCATGCACACGGAGGCTTATACTCAGTATTATACTTTGTTGGTCTCGAAGGTGCCACTGGACTCAGATCCCCAGTGTTAAGGCTACCCACTGAATGCCTGTGCATTTCTATTTAGTACATTTTAATAATTCCTCCAAGGAACTCAGCACAGTCTTTTGAGGCTGAAAGAGAGTGACTGGCCCAGTGCCACTTGCTGAAATGAATGGCAGGATGAGGATTTGAACCTGAAGCTCACAAGTTCTCAGGCTCCTAATCGCTAGCCCCGGAAGTAACACACACCAAACTCCTTTA